TTAATTTGTTCAAACATAAAAAGTTTGATAAGATATGAAGCATATCCAAAATCCTCATTCATTGGTCTCTGCTTTTAGGTTTGTGGTGAATCAGTAACCACAAATTTCTATTAAAACTTTTAAAATATCTTCTCTTATATGGGATAATTATATCCCACAGCACTTCATTTCACTCTTTTTATTTTGATATTTTAAAGTGGTACTGGCTCAGATAACAATTTCAGGTAGTCCTCAACTTATGAGCAGTCATTTAATGACCGTTTGAAGTTACAATGAATCCCCAAAAGATACTTATGACCCAGTTTTGAAGTGTTGAAGTCTGTTCACCATACGGTCATATGATTCATTTTGGGCATTTGACAACTGGACCTCTGTTATTTGCAGTGTCCCGTAGTTACATGACCACAATTTATGACTTTTTTTCCTGCATTTACTTCCACTTTTCAATTAAAAAATGCCCATTGGCTAAATGGGTTCACTTAATGACTGTGGCATTCACCTAGTGACAATGGCATTTGCTTAATATCTGCCACAAAAAAGTCATAAAATCAGGTATGGTCACATGGTGACCCATTTAATGACCAGCATAGTTTACAGCCGTAATTCCAGGCTCATATAATCCTTCCATATAATAGAAAGACAAGTGCTAAAATATTAATGTCATAATTTAAATGTTTATTTAAGAAAGATTATAATATGAAAAATCTGAATTGCCAAGTGATGTGACTTAATTTATCTTGTTCATTAATACTATTACAATTACCATTAGAACCACAAAAAGTGCTTAAGATAAATATCAAGGTGATATGTTTGAATTATTTATGATACCTGCACATTCAAGAAAATAATGCATCCTTTAGAAAAATGATAAGAATGATTTTTTAAAATACAAAACTCCTTGTAAACAATACATGAGTACAAAACCTAGTGTAAATATGCATTTCTTTCAAAGCACTTTATGAATATAAGCATATGATTAGATTCTAAACAGAATCAATTCTTCCCCAGATACATTATGTTAAAAATTAACATTATGTCAATAGTAATGATTATATTATCTCTAAATATTGGGATTAACATTCTATGTAACAAAGAAATAAATTGCTCTAGTTTAAGATAGTGATGGTATATCTTTTGGGCTCGGCATGTCAAAAATTCAGAAAATGCCTAATCTGATTCTGCTGGCATGACATCTCCCCACAAACAAGAGAGACAATTCTCTACAAATTTGTTTGAAAAAATAATCATGTGTCGTGCTAGGTATTATATAAAGAAACATCAAATAATATTACAAAAATAAAATAACAGTAAAACAAACTCATTTTGGAGGGGCCAGAGACTATGCAGCAGCATCCCCCATTATTGTGTAGCCTCCCAAAAATTCATATAAATGGGTTGTGCTTTCAAAAATAATTGTTTTTGGATGTTGGGAAATGCTTGCATGTGACCCAAAACATCATGGCATCATCTTTGACATACATATTATAGTTTTGACATCACTGGTTCTAGAAAAACAAAAAGCAAAACTGTAGATTCTAACTCACGGGTGTCAAACTCGATTGTGTCACATGATACATCGTGACGTATCGCAATGTTTTTTGCCTCTGCGGAGGTGTGGTGGGCATGGCCAGCACGTGACATATCCGCCCCAGTTTGAGACCCCTGTTCTAACTTTTTTGCTGTTGTTGCTGCTTTATTTTGTGAGACTGGAGATTTTGGAAGACTAAAGAGTGAAAGGATCATTAGGAAAAAAATCTGTTTAGAATGCTAATCATTGTATTTCAAAACATAAATTTTCATACCTTCATAGCTGTAAATCATAAGAAAGCTCCCACATGGGAATATTTTAAATATATTTATAGATAGAAAAGAAAAACATGCTTTTAAAACCTGAAAACAACTTTATAGGACGGGGATGTCAAACTGCCGGCCCGTGGGCCGGTTGCATCATACGGAAGCTGCGCCCACCCCAGCTCCAGCAATGCAAAAGTCGCGATACATTGTGACACGTCATATGACATGGCGAGTTTGACACCCGTGTTATAGGAGATAGCTCTGCAAAAAGTGTTAATACAGAGGAATGATGTGTGAACTATTAAAAGTTTACTTCCTCCATCAGTGTGTGTTCTAATGACACTTGCATTATTAGTCTACATTGCTTGGATCATGCAATTTATGAACTATATATGTCAGCAATTATGGTTCGCAGGTTTGTTGCAGGTTTTCACCACTAATTCATTTTTATTTTAACAAAATAATGAAAATGCATTATTTATTAATAAATGAGGCAATATAATACCTTAAAAAGTGAGTAGCCACTACTCAATTATTTTATGCAGGAAATCAATAGTTAAACAAAAATAACTATTATCATTATCATCATCATATTGGAATAGTTTTATGTATTTATTTATTTAAAAAATAAATTTCTGGTTCCATTTTTATATTTAATAAGACATGACAAGGAAAGAGTCAAGCATATAAATAGTTGGACTTCCCGATGATTCTATACTTAGCTATAGAATTAGAACATAATTCAACGAAACTGGGCCAGACAGTGCTTATAACTCTATAGAAATTGTGGAGTCCACATTATGCTGACTAATACTAATTTATCACTGAAATGTCTTATATATGAAACACAGTAGTCTACATTCTCTTTCTTTCTCCTGGTGAGATTCAGAAAGCCCACATCTCTGAGTAAAACTGCTCTTTGGGAATGACAGGTGTTATTTATTAGAAAATGTATATGCTATTAACTTATTTAACAGTTCTGGGCAGCTTACAAGCACAGTGAAAGCAGCAATCAACAGCTATAACTGATACTTTTATAAAACTATTATCCAGCATTTAGAGTGGAGAAAGAAAAAGCACTTGTGCACGAAAGCAATAATCCTATTAGAAAATTGCAAACCCAGTAGAAAGCCATGTTTACTCACTTCTATTCAGCTCTAATTTAAAGATATAGCTAGGAAAATGCTTGAAATAAAATTCTGCATACTCATGATCTAATAGTTTTCCCCTTTCATATTTCCACAATGTTGCTATCTTCCTTAAATCCAAATGTATATAACAAATGCACTATAATGGCTATTTCTTTCAGAAAATTATTAGTCCTTCTATTACAGTTTGTAAATACTTTAGATTTAGAAGGACTGGGCTTTCACTATCAAAGGCCTGGTTTGAACATTAATAAACCATTAACTCTGGTTTTATGAGGATGGCACATTAAATGGCACAAAATCAAGTGATTTTTTTGCAATTTTTATACTTCTTGCAGTCACACAAGCGAACAAATAAACCAGGAAGTCAGATTTAATGGTATGGAAAGGTAAACTGACTTCAAACAAAGCATGCAAATACTCTGCTTAATGTCAGAACAGAGAATGACTATAAACACTCACACCAGATTCTCTTTCTCAGGACATACAAATATAATTCATTAGACTCTGGTTAATTTTACCCATAGTAGTTTAAAAATTATTTCTTAAAATTTGAAATATTGCATGAAACAGTAGAATGAAAGCTTGAGTTTCAATATGAAGTTTGGGGTAGTGCAATGAAATCATGGTGTGATCAGTGACACGTCCATAGAAATTTCTAGCACATATTGAATAGCCTTGCTAAAATCCAGCATTCATTAAGGTCAGTAGTTTCTACAAAGTTATATTTTACTGAATTTTGTCTGGTTAATTTCTGGAAGAAATTATTACCATGGTTGTATGTTACAGTATCAGAAGGTTTTTAACTTCATATAGCATTTCTTTTCGGGAGGAAAAGAGAAGATTCTTGTCTGCTTAAAGAAACCTTGAAGAGTACAGGATTGCAATAACATACTATTTCTGTAACAGTTTAAATATTTAACAAGATAACCCCATCAAATCAATTAGATCTATATGTACAATTTTTATTCAGAAGTAAATCTAATTATTTTCTTGCAAATTAAAAAGGAGTAGGATTTCTAATGGCAAAATTCAAAAAAAATGATTTAAAAGTGTGATGTTATTTCTCAGGTTCCTTATGGGCAGAACTGAAACCTACATGGGACTCTTAACTGGCTGGTGTGACTTGAACCGAAGAGGCCTTAGGTACAAATGACATACTTAGTTTTTGTTCTTCTGATATTTTTGTATAGGATTGTGATCTTTTATTGTAAACTTCCCAGAATCACTTTATACAACGAGATAGTGTATAAATCTGACTAACGAATAAACTAAAGCTGACAACCATGCCTCAACTAAAAAGAAACATTAAGGGCATCAAATACTGTAGTGTGAGTTTCAAATCCCAGGTCAGTTGTCTTTTGGGGAAAAAAAGCTGCTCAACAGAAGAGAAAGCACCAGGGAGTCGCTATCAACAGAAGAGGAAGCGTAATTAAAAGGATACTACAATATCATTCAAAGCCAATGGGGTCGGGAGAAATTGCAGCGGGGAATGGCTCTTTGAGACCGATTTGGGAAAAACTGGACGCCCATGGGACAGCTGCAAACCCTCTCATTTCATAGATATTTGTCCCCTAAAGTAAAAGAACTTCTCCCGCCCCAAATACTCTACTCATCACTGGCCTTTCTTCTCCAACAGAGGAAACCAAGACCTCCAACTACGAAAATGCTCTTTCTCTTCTCTCCCGTGGGCCAAATACAAGCTTCCCTGCTTCCTTCCATCCCCTCCATTCCCTCCGCCCCCCCCCTCGCACCCCGTGTCGGCCCCCACCTCCCGGATCCTTCTCCCTTCTATTCCGCGGAGGGTCTCACCCCCCCCAAGAGAAGCCAGGCGTCCCCTTCCGTCCTTGGCCCTCAGAAAGGGCGGAGGGCATAGCGAGCGGTCCACGTTGCCGCCCGCCCTGCTAAAGGACCCCCCCCCCTCCGTCCCTTTCAGAGAGCAACAGCCTTCCCCCAGAGCCTGCCGGAGGGCGAGAGGAAGGCGCCTCGCCGCCACCTTCTCACCTGCGCCTCCTCTCGGGCTGCGGCGGCTGCTCCTGGCGGCGCCCCCCCGCGGGCTCCCCCCGCAGCGCCGCCTCCCGCTCCTCCTCGCCCTTCGCCGGCGGCATCCAGCTGCCGCTCCCGGTACAGCGCCCAGAGCCCCACATTGGGGAGGAAGACGAGGGCGGCCAGCGCCAGCCCCACCGCCTGCAGCAGCCGCTTCTGCTTCCGCCGCATCCGAGACGCCGCCGCCGGCCACCGCCGCCGCCTGCGAAGGGGAGCGCGAGCCCAACTTTCCTCCCGCGCTGAAGCGATGACAGCGACGCTCGAGCCCCGCGCGAGGCAATCCAGCGCCAGCTCAGCCCCGTCCCTCCGTTTGGCGGGCACTTCCGCTCTGAGGGCGGGCACTCCCACTCTTACCGCGAGCGAGGAGGGTGGTCACGCAAAGCCCCGCCCACACCTCGAGCCTGGACCGCGTCCCTCGCTAGTGCTCGTCGCGGAGAGGCCACGGGAGCGCGGCAATCCGCTTTCTTTACCCCCCCGTCGCCGGCAAATGGTACCGGCCGCGCTGCTTTTCCCTTGGGGGCAGCGAATGATCTCCCCGGCCCAAAACAAGTTGAAGGGAAGGGGGGGGGGAAAGGATTTTAAAATTTCTTTTTAACCCTGGAGTTGGTGGGGGCGGGTGAGCAGTGCGCGGTAAAGTGCAAAGGCGGGTCGATTTCAGCAAAGCCACGCTTCTCCCGCGAAGCCACGAAGAAAAGAGAGTGAAGGCAGCCAAAGAGAGAGGGGTGGGTGGGTAAAGGAAAAGGGGGCGGGTAAGGGTCGCGTCTTTCCCCTTTATATCTTAAGAGAGGAATTGGGGAGGTGGTTTCTACTTTTACAGGAAAAGGAGGAGGCTGGCTTCCCTAACGTGACTAGCGGTTGCTGGAGAAATAATGAAATACTGTACAGACTGGGATGCTACGACCAGAGGAGAAAAATCAGAGCTTTTTGTGTGAAGAATTAACTCCAGCTTTTCTATTTTAACCTCTGATTAAACTATGTGAATAATAGTCTTATAAATATTCAGTTTATAATTGCCCTCTGCAATTTCTCTCTTCTCCCCATCCTATTGTCTGGCTGCTAGGCTCCATAGGGGAAGGTTTTTCTTTTTCTTTAAATGCACTTATATTCAAGAAATTATTGTAATAACGGGAATTCATTTTTTCCCCCCAAGTCAGTCTTCTGGTGACTGCCTGGACAAATCCCTGCAGTTTGCTTGGCAAGGTTTTTTGGAAATGGTTTGCCTTTGCCTCCTTCCTAGGGCTGAGGGAGAGTGCTTGCATCAAGGTCACCCAGCTGGCTTTACAACTAGAAATTACAGTCTCCTGGTTTCTAGGCTGATGCTTTAACCACTCCACCCTACTGATTGTCCACTAAGATATATAACTGACTTTCATTCCTGTAAAAACGTAGTAAAAGAAAAGCCAGTGATTTTGAATTTTAAAAAGGTTTGTAAATGTATGGGGGAAAAAGAATAGCTTCAAGAACACACCCAATGTTGATTTGGATTCCCAAAGCTAAGCAGTGTTAAACGTATGTAAAATATATCTTTGTGTAGCTGTCATACTATTGATGTTGCCACCAGTATCTGCTGGGTGTATTTGCAGCACTTGACCATTTTGTCAAGACTTGGAAATTAAGCAAAATCAGATCTATTTAGTATTTAGCTGGAGAACACAAGGGAATTCCAGGGTTGTAGAGCAGATAACAGAAATCAAAAAGATAATTCAGAAGAAGGGAATGGCATGCTATTTCCATTCAGTTGCCAGTAAAATGCATGGATATGGTAATATAGTCACTAAGGGTTGAATTCAAGTCTGGGCCATCTTCACCTATTAAGTAATTTAAATTTTTTATTTCTAGCCTAGCTTCTATATTAACTCCTATGTAGAACAAACAACTGTTGTGAGTTCTGAAGTGATGTAGTTATTGGAACTCTGTGCATACTTTTTAAAAAATAATCCAAATTCAGCATTCAATAAACATTAAAATGTTCATACAGCTGGATCAGAACTTCCAAATGGCAGGTTTTAGGATTTATTTGATAAACAGATAATTGAGAAGCATAACTATTATGAGGGTACTTTCAAATCTATGAACATTGCATTTTTCTCTTACTCTTAAATCCTGGGTGAATATGATACGATATGTAAGGTATGTTACAAATACTGTTATACTGTGTCATTTGTTTACAGCAGAATACACAGCACTGCAGATAAAATCAGATATTCAAATTTTCTAAAGGTTTTTGAAACAAATCTAATAGCTGATTTTAAATTTCAGTCCCAAAGCAGTATAAAAGGCTACTTCATTACACAGTTTTCCAAGAATGAGTTGTATAATGATTTAAGGCAGAACTGATATGAATAATTCATATTTGGTAACAGCAATATAGTTGGCTGAAAGCAAATAAACCATTTTCCCATAGGAATTGAGGAAAGAGTATGGCTGTACCACAATATATACTGATATTACTGGATGCATTTAATATGAACTGTAAGGCACCAATAAATAGTATTCTATGGTATGACAAAGATAATAAATATATAAGACATAATCAGCTTTCAGATGACAGTTCAATATTATATATCTCTGAGAAGGAGTAAATCCTATTAAACATAGTTCTGCTGCCTCTAAGTAGATAGGGCTGGCATTGCACTATAATTTGTGTAAATTTTCCACAATTACTTTTGCCATTAATTCATTATTGGCATCTGTAGCCTCCTGTGAATGACCATAATTAATACTGATGTTAATTGACCGGCAAATCATTTAAATATATTTCACCATCAAAATAGGGCAATGCAGCACAAGAATTTCTAATAATCATTTGCTTTCCTTTGTCCACATTTGATTAATTTCTTAATTTAAGAAGAAACCATCTACAATATATACTAATGAAAATATTTTTATTAGAAAATTGTATTATTCTTTTTGCTTTCACTGTATAGCTCACTAACAAGAGAAAAAATATGCATATACTATATGCAACTATCATGTAATCCACTAGGTGGCAAGCTTCCAGTAAATTCTGAATTAATCAACTCCAGCTAAATTATCTAAAAACAACACTCAAATTGCAAAGGCCAGCTACAGTACTCTCCAGTAGTTAAAAAGAGTTAAAAGTAAGTTAAAATAGGTTAAAAGTGGGTAGATTAAAAATGCAATGTTAAAAAGGGTTAGAAAATAAAAATAAAAGAAAAGAAGGCTTTTGCTTTTGGAGGAGCTCCTTACAGCCTTTGCTGCCTGTCCACCACCTTGGCTCCACCCCAGCTACAGTACTCAAATTGGTATAACCTGCAATTCACTTTAGTTAGGCTTTTGAGTTTATTGATTTTATTTCATCCAGAAAAAAAATGTCTCTACTTCTTGGCAGGCTAAAGGGAAAGATCACAGATTAAGTCTCAGGATACTGAAGTTGAAGATGGTGTTGAGTTGAATTTGATTCCTGGTGACTATATGTGAATTTTAGTTTACCACAATATGGATGGGTTTGCATTGCTTTCTTCTCTTTGTGTGTGTATGTGTTTTATTTATGGTCATGGCATATAAGCGTTGCTTGAGCAGATTGTCTGGGACGCCACACATCCTCTTCATGACCTGTTTTCCTTGTTACCTTCTGGGAGAAGATTTTGTGGTATCCGAAGCAGAACATCCAGATTCAGTCACAGTTTTATTCCATACAGTATTAACCTTGTGAACTCTCATGCTTCCTCTTTCTGCTATGTATTCAAGATGGACAGTGATTAATATTTATATATACTTAATATGCAAAGGTGTAGGTATAAACATATGTATATAGCATGTTTATATGTGTGTTATGTATGTGTACACTTTTGAGAGCAGGCAATAGAATTTCATTTTTAATGTGTGCCCACAAACTCTGCAGCGAGCGGGAGATCAAACAGATTCCTAACCAACCTAGCCAACAACTTTGTCATCCAAAAGGTGGAGGAGGGAACTAGACGTAAAGCCATACTAGACTTAATTCTAACTAATAGAGAAGAAGTGATAGAGGGAGTTGAAGTTGCCGGAACCTTGGGCGAAAGTGACCATATCATACTGGAATTTCATATAACACAAACACTAGCAACAGAAAACAATCCAACCAGTGTCTTGAACTTCAAAAGAGCTGACTTTAACAAACTCAGAGAGAACCTAGGAAAAATCCCATGGATGAAAATCCTAAAGGGGAAAACAACCCAAGAAGCATGGGAAACTCTGAAAAATGTGATCATAAAAGCCCAGACCAGCACAATACCACTGAAAAAGAAAAACAAGAAATTCAAGAAGAAACCAGCATGGCTGCACAAAGATCTCTCTGACAAACTGAAAGACAAAAAGGACAAATACAAAAAATGGAAAGAGGGGCACATAACTAAGGCTGATTATCAGCAGACAGCCAGAATATGCAAAGATGAAGTCAGGAAAGCAAAAGGTCAGAACAAAAAAAGACTTGCAACAGAAATCTTGGATAATAAAAAAGTTTCTTCCAACATATTAACAACAAGAAAAAAGTCAAGGAAACTGTAGGTCCACCAAAGAGAGAAGATGGCAAGGAAATAACAGGCAACAGGGAGAAAGCAGAGCTGCTTAACTCATACTTTGCATCAGTCTTCACACAAAAAGAAACTATAGCCCAACATACCAAAAAACCCCAATGCAAAAGACAAATTAGAAACAAAAATTAAAATAAGCAAGAAAATGGTAAGAGAACACCTATCCGACCTTGACAAACATAAATCACTGGGGCCTGACAGATTACATCCCAGAGTTTTGAAGGAGCTGGCAGATATTATCTCAGAACCATTGCACCACACCTTTCAAAAATCCTGGAGCACTGGGGAAGTACCTGAGGATTGGAAAAGGGCTGATGTGGTTCCCATCTTCAAGAAAGGGAAAAAAAAAAACAGACCCAGGAAACTACAGACCAATCAGTTTAACCTCAATACCTGGAAAGATCCTAGAAAAGATAATCAAAAAACAAATCTGCGAACAACTAGAAGCAAACAAAGCTATAACTAGTAGCCAGTACGGGTTTGTTAAAAACAGATCATGCCAAACCAATCTTATTTCATTCTTCAACAAAGTGACTAAACTAATAGACCAGTGAAATACTATGGACGTAGTATATTTATACTTCAGTAAGGCATTTGATAAAGTAGACTACAGCCTACTCCTTGGTAAGCTAGAAA